ACCAAAATTTGACAAGCCCTTGTAACATTAGCAGGGCCACTGGTCTCGACAGCCAGGAATGGAACAAGTCCACCGATCGCACTCCGGTTTGCGTTGGGCTCTTCCTTTGCGAATACGGTTTTGGTGTGCCAGTTTCAGTGCTGCCATGGGCTGGCACTGCCTGTTGGGTTAAACTGTTGAGCATGGAAGCCTTAAGCAGTCTGGGGCACGTAGTGACGGCAAAGAGAAGGCTTTGGGTTCAAGGTTGAGGCTGCCCCCAAGCCTTGAACCGAGAGGTGTTAATCTTTAAAGGTTCGGGTGCAGGGTTCTTTGGTTTTGGGGTTGTTGGATTTTATTATCATATGGGCATCAACCGCAAGATGCATATTCAAAAAGTATAGTGGCTCTGCATGCATGTATGTGTGTATGCACCTACTTCTACACGCTTGTTTGTATGCTTGCACGTTTGTACATACGTATGCATGCATATATGTATGTAAGCATATGCGTGTGTATGTATGACTTATGTCGATGGGTAGGGGTGGGTCGCTGGGTCGCCGGGTGGCTGGGGTAGATGGGCGGTGGATGGGTGGATGGGTGGCTGGGTAGATGGGTGTATCGGTGTATGAGTGTATGGGTTGACGGGTGGATGGGTGGGGGCCTTCTGGTAACCCAATAATGGCCATTCCTTAGGGTTTATAGGGCTTAGGGTAAGACGCTTTCGGGGAACCTATTTAAACCTAGAACAATCGGCTCCCAATCAGAGGGAACCCGGTGGTCACACGATCCTCCTGAACTAAACTCAATCAAGCCTATAAACCTTGAATCGACGAAGAGCTTGTAGCGCAAGAGCTCGTGAAACTTCTACGTATACATTTTCGGATTGGGATTGCAGACTTCGATGCTATACCACAGCACACAAGTACTCCAAGGCATCCATGTCTCAGTCGAACGCGCGTGCCTCAGTTTAGCAGCCAAGCGGCTTCTGATAAACCCCCGTTTCAAAGGGTCAGTAAACGGCCGCCTGTATATGTGCTGCTGCATGAAGGGCGGAGTTTATGTAGAATCAATCGCATCGAGACCTTGCAGCTTAGTTGCCGAACAGAAGGGGTGCGGGCCTAAACCCTGCAACCCTACACTGTAACCCAAACCCTGAACGCGAATCTCTGAACCCTGAAGCCCCTACACCTCTACAGTAGAAGCCAGAAAGTTGGAACATAATTATCCCCATGCCCTTAAGGTACAGTATGAGGGATCCAGCACTAATCCTCCAAAATCCATGTTCCAACTTTCTGGCTTCTACGACACATCCAAAGCCCCAAGAAACCCAAGCAAAAAATGGCACCCTGCAGCCAGTGAAAGCCCGGAGTTGGATACCCTAAACCCTAAACCCTTAACCCTAAACGCCCATATTGCATCGGTCTATCGTCAGCCTACTGTTAGGGGCCTGATATATGGGAGTTTCCGAAAACTAGGGGTACCTTTTTGGGGGTCGTTACAATAAGGACCCTGCTATTTACGGTACTATATTGGGGTCGCCTATAATCGTAAACTCCCATATCCTAACGCCTAAACCCGAAATATGCTAAACCCTAAACCTGCATATTCACATGTCTATTCAACTGTTGCTGAGTGGGAGCAGTACTTGACAAACAAGACCGGAACCCTAGTATTTCTCCAATATTTATTTCCAATGCTCCTTAATTAACCCTATGCTTCCAAGGACCTTATAGCTAGGGCCCCAGACCCATTCAGCACCCAATTATGAGGTCCCTGGAAGCATAGAGTAAGAGACACTGGAAGTATCTGACCCTAAACCCGTAATTAAACCCTACCTAGACCCTCATACCCTGCCCCGTTTTTTGGGGCGCCTACTCTTAGGATAGCAGACCTAACCATAAAACTAGGTATCCCAATAAAGGGGTAGGGAATGAGTTAGAAGGGGCCCCCACCCGGTAATAGTGGTATAATAGGAATATAATAGGGCCCTATTATGTTCCTTATAGTCACTATTACAAGGTGGGGGCCCCTTCTAAGGTATGAGCCTCTAGGTAGTGTTCGAGCCCAGAGGCAGGTCGGCGCCTCGCGCGCCGAGGTTGCACATGCCGTTTTCAGGAGCCCCTCCTGGGAAGAAGGGGCAGTGTAGGGCCTGAGGGCTCCTTTCCACTATGGGCTATTAGACCCTAAAGATCCCTATTAGGACCCTATTAAGGGTAGATTAAGGTACCCATAAGGTCTGATAGCCCATAGTGGTTTGGGGATTAGGGTTAAGGGTTTAGGGGTTTAAAAGGTTAGGGGTTTGGGGTTTAGCTTAGGATTTGGTGCCTTGAGGGTTCCTTTTGGTTAGGGTTAAAGGTTTAGGGTTTTAAAGATTAGGGGTTTGGGGTTTAGCTTAGGACTTAGTGCCTTTAGGGTTCCTTTTGGGGATTAGGGTTAAGGGTTTAGGGGTTTAAAAGATTAGGGGTTTGGGGTTTAGCTTAGGATTTAGTGCCTTTAGGGTTCCTTTTGGGGATTAGGGTTAAGGGTTTCGGGGTTTAAAAGGTTAGGGGTTTGGGGTTTAGCTTAGGATTTAGTGCCTTTAGGGTTCCTTTTGGGGATGAGGGCTAAGGGTTTAGGGGTTTAAGAGTTTAGGGTCGATAAAGGGATCTGCAAGCTTTAGGGGCTCCTGTTGGGGATCAGGGTTAAGGGTTTAAGGGTTTGGGGGTTTAGGGTTTAGGGCCTAGGATTCAAAGCCTCGTTAGGGTTCCGATAAGGGGATCTATAAGCTCTGGGGTTCGTTTTGTTATGGGGACCTATAACGGCTCCATAAGGGTTTACCGTCTAAGTGTTTTTAGGGGCTTTGGGCGGGTTCAGCAGCTCCATTTCGAGCAGTTTCCCGTCGGGCTCGCCAGTCTGGTATCGGAAACCATCCCAGCCACCCAAGATTCCCACAACATTAGGAAACCAACGCCTAAATACGAAACCCTAGTTCTTCAACCCCAAACCGTAAAGCCGGAATCCTGAACCCTAGGGCTAAAATCCTAAACCGTGTAATTACTGTTAGAACTGTTTCCCTCAATGTGGCGTGGGACGACAAGAATTCATAAGAATACGATTTGCTTGTTGGTGGGGGGTGGGGTGAAAAACACGTTCGTATTGGAATGGAAGTGGCTTCGCTTACTGGGGCGCTGGACCTTGGAGTTCGGACGATGATTTTAGGGTTCGGACTATGGTTTTAGGGTTCGCAAACGCCCACAATGAAATCGCAGATGCCAACGAAGAAATCGGAACTGCCCATCGGCTGTTTTTCGCACATGCCCTCGAACAGACCCAAATGCCCCGCGAAGAAAACGAAAATGCCCACGAAGCAGGTAAGGTGTAAACTGACATGGTAGAGAGTGATCAGGGGTTAACTTAAGGGTGTGATAAAGATTTTGGGTTTATGGTACTTTGTGAGTGAGGTAATACGTAGCTCAGTTGGAGTTCTGCAAGCAACTACCAGTAGAGTTGCCTGATTTATAACCCTGAGCACTACAGTTGATGATATGAATCCTGCACTACCCAGAATAAGGATATACCATAATTCCCATAGTTTAAGGTCCTTAAGGTAACGCAGCTGTCATCAAAAGTAAATACCATGATCCTTGAAGGGTTCCTTTGCGGGTTCATTTTTAAGGATGTCGCAAGGATGTAGGGCATAGGGTTTTAAGTGTTCAGGCTTTTTTTTTGTGCGGGCCCTTTTCCTCCCTGCTACAGTCAGAATACCTTGCAGGTAGAGCCTGGTTTTCAGGCTTAGGGTTTAGGCTTGAAGGATCCCCGCTGAGCCTGGAAAAAAGGATTCAGGGCTCGGGGTTTAGGAAACCCTGAAAAGCAAAACCCCAAAACCCTCAACCCACAAAGCCTTGAACCCCTCAACCCTAAACCTCAAGACCCCTAATTACTCTCTAAACACCTAAACTTAAAACCCCATAAGCCCCAAAACCCTGAATCATATATCCACTTTAGAATTTAGAACCCGTAGGTTATAGAACCCTTGCCTTACTTAAAGGATCATGGGACTCAGTAGCTAGGGTTATAATTAGCGTAGCTAGACTCATAACTACTTACAAGCCCAACTAAGGTACTTATAACCTTACTTACTAAGTCCCATGATCCTCCAAGTATATTATAGAACCCTTAAGGCATCCCCGAAACCGCCAAAACCCGAGCTGCCTTGAAGTGCGAGAAGGTACGCTCCTGCGGGTCTGCAGGGCCAAGGCTGAGAGGGTAGTTCCTTCTTCCCTAGGCAGCTAAGGACTGACATATTAAGGCCTTTTGGGCCCAAAGACCATACTATATAAGGCTTTTGAGCTATTTTGATGCCCAGGGTTTCAGGGTATATAGTTCCTTTTTCGGGCTCATATTTAGAATCCTATAAAGTAACTCCAAAAACGAACTGGGTTGAGGGGTTGAAATGGGTTTAGGGGTTTGGGGGCTGAGGGGTTGAGGGGTTTAGGGGTTTAGGGTTCAGAGGTTTTGGGTTCAGGGTTTTGTTGTAAAGTGCAACGGACTTTTGAAGTCTCGCAAGCCCACCGGATTGGGCGTGCACTCCAAAACAGGAAGGTTAAAAGATTCAGGGTTTAGGATCCAGGGTTCAGGGCGGAGTGGGGTATAATAGCAAGCATATGCTAACCCCACACCTCATACCCTATACTCCCCCCTACGCTTTCACCTCATTTCTCAAACCGCCTAACATTTCAACCCTTAAATCCCGCAAAACACAAAGCACCTCCCAAAACCAACACAATAATCCCGAAAACAAAGCAACCCACCAACCCAATACAACAGTCCAGAACACAATCCAAAACCCGAAGCGCCTAAACAAATCCTACCCTCAACCATAAAATAACCAATATCCTAACATGAGGTGTGGGGTAAGACCCTAATAGAAAAAACCCAAAAGATTATAACCCCGAACTGGGAAGGCTCCCCTCCATAGCAAACCTAATCCTAAATGTTGAACCAGTCCCGATGTCTGTTTGCGCCCAGAACGGTTCAGTTCTCTACTGTACAAGTGCAACTCCTGCCGGTGGAGCTGGCACTGGATCCGCGACACCTGTCAAAGCTCTCTTGTTCTCCATCAGCACATAGATCCTCGCGATGGGCACTGTCGCGGCCGCGAAGAACGGATCCAGACCCAAATGGGACAGGTACACCTTGACATTGGCATACTGCTGCATGTTGTTCGGGGCGATGATGCTATTCCCGAGGACCCCTCCAGCTCCAGCCTGGCCTTGCACGCGGGTGTGTTGCAGCTGCGATGCTGTAACTGGATAAGCAGCCCCAATCCATAGCGGAGGCACGCCACCGGCTGCGCCGGCCGCATTGATCGTCACCACGGTTGCGTTGAGGTTTTCAGGGTCCCAATCGAACACCACTGCTGGATCGTCTTCACGAATCCCACGCAGAATGTCGTCTGGTAGCCCCGAAACTACCACATTTGCACCATCTTTCTCGACGCTGATCTCCTGCAGCTCCTGACCTTTTCTCTTTGTCATGGCGGCGCTGAGTGTTGAAGCTACCGTCGGATTTCCTTTCTTCTACGTTCCACTTTGATCAAGAAACGTGAATGCGCTCAAGATGTAAAACTGACATCCAAGACTTTCGTTGCACAATAGCAGAACCAGTAGGCGCAGGGTGTTCAAGGACATGAAGTCAATCGGTGTTTCCGGGTTCAGGTGTTCACATCTTGCGCATGAGCATCTGGCAGATGCTACAAGTCCTGACCATATTTGAGCGCGTTGTGACTTGTTTTATATCATGCAACAAGCGGAAGTAAACATGATGCTTGCCAGATGCGAGATAAAGCTTCCCACCACATACGCAAGAGTAGCAAGAGCTCGGGAAAGCTACTACACCAACTGGTTACAAACGAGTGGAAATACGAGAAGTGGTAGACTTAGACCGGCAACACTATTCCAACCCTTCCGAACCAAAACCCATTCTCTACACCTTTAATATTTCATGCCTCAAATACCCTCTCTTATCATCATCTAAATAGTAATAGTGTTGTCCTAATTTCTTATAAATTTGTTTTACTGTTTGGGGGGTTCTCGCCCAATGGCTCATTTTCTCTTTTTCACTAATGCCCTTTTTACGCATTATTTTCACACTATCACCTACCTCTATTTCGGGATATGTTCTATTGCGTTTTGCCTGTAAAGATATATTCAATTTTACTTCAAATTCATTTTTCTTTTTCCTTGCTTCTAATGGTGTCATGTTTGTAGTTGATGAAACCATTTTATTGTTATATGTCAATAGTATTTCCGAATTATAACCTATCCACTGTATATTTTGCTTTCTTTTCTTTTCATCTGCTTCAACCCGCTTAAAAAGCATATCTTTATATGTTCTTATAAAACGCTCCGCGAACGCTGGATGCCCTCTTGTTCTATGTATCTCAATTTTCTCACCCTCCAAATATTCTATAACTGTTTTACTGTATAAACTCCCTTCTTCGTCTGAGTAAAACATTTTTGGTTTATCCCCCATTTTTTGTAGTCCTTCCATTATTCCCGCCAACATATCAGGTGGTTCTTTACTCTTAATAGGTATAACAGTAGCATATTTACTGAAAATATCAATTAAAACCAATCCAATTCTAAATTTTTGGTTTTCTAAATCATTTTTGCTTATAAAGAATAAATCCAGCTGATATTCAAAATGTGCGTGAGGTGCTACGAAACTATTCTCACCACGAGGTTTTCGCTTTTCTTCAACATTCTTCTTAAAAAACTCCTCAACATCGTCTTTCGTAATACTTTTATCCTTCTCTCGGGCATCTTTCAAAGTAGTCGCCCTACTCCCAAACCCCGAGCGGTCATAATAAATGTCATTAATGATTTTTTGTTTATCGGTAGGGTCTGCGACCCCAGCGCTCTGTCGTGCGGAACTCATATAAATAATAATAGAAAATTATTGATAGATAAAATATTCATTTTATTTATGGATAATTTCGTTTCTTTTAGAAACAAAATTATTGTTATTTAATGGGAGCTGACATTACAATAAAAACAATAAGCACAACAATTGTCTATATGATGCCCATAATCATTGCATAGACGCTGTGCTGTAAAGTTGCTACATAACTTGCCTTGCTTGGTTTCAAAATTGAATGCTGTATTACATTTCTCGCACCTGCTTTTAAACATTTTCAAACACCATTCGGGGGTTATGTATTCCTCCTCGTTTATTTCTCTCCCTGCTTTCCTGTCTTGTAGTTTGTAATTCTCCACCTTGTTTTTAAAGTATCTCATTATCATATTTCTATCCATTTGTTTATCAAAACTTGGGTTGGAATAAAACCTGACTTTTCTAAAATCAATACACCGAGTAATACTTGTCCAAATCCACTCCCTGCTTGCTATTGGTAAGTTGTATTCGTGTATAGTTATATACCCCTTCACACTCGCTCCCTGACTTGAATGACAGGTGGCGCAGTATGAATATATAAAGTTATTATCAACAACCGCTTCAAACAGCATAAACTCATCTTCATCATTCGCTATGTTCTGTAGTGTTATTTGCGCTCCGAGTTCGTCTTGCTCTATGCTCGTAATTCTATACCGTAGATTTACATTTACCCTTGGTTGTTTAATCCATTTTCTGGCAATGAGTATTTCACCCACTTCGTATTTACTTTTCTTGTTTAACCTGTTTCTAATCTCATTCGCTACATTTCGGCATCTTATGTTTGTATAGGCAATGTTGTGCTCCGATGCCATTATGTCGTCAGTCGTTTCAAAATACTTCGGTATAATGTCTTGAATAGGCAACTTGTTTTCCCAAAAGTCGTTATACATATTGTTAATGATTTCCCTGTTTCTGTCTCCTTCTTCGCTGTCCTTCGCTCCTACTCTCTTACACACTTCTAGGAATATATTGTATTTATTAAATACTATATCTATGCAGTTGTCTATATAAACTGCTGGGTTCTGGCAGTTGGTCATAACTTCCACTCCCTGCAATTGTTTAACATCGCCCGTCCCAATAACGATAATATCAGGATTTTCTTTAATAAACCGTCTGACCTTATCCAATACATATAAGTTAGACATATAAACCTCACCAAACATCACCACATTGAAAGGGGAATAATCAAAAGCTGGCAACTTCTCCCCGACATCTTCATGAACAGCGATGCTGAAAAACTTATTATATGTTGTCGCCTCTACTTCCTTTTCTTGTAAAAGTCTATTGGTTGGCACTACAAACAAAACATTATTCCCCATTTTTTGGAAATACTCGCCTATATAACTCTTGCCTGTGCCCGGGAACTTGCCACGAACTATCACGGGGTTTCTCAACATAATTTTCTCGCAGATTGCTTTAGTGTCCCATTCATCCTCAACTTCAACCTTTACATTACTAATTTTCGGGATTTCCGGCACTTCGTTAAACTTGTATGTGTATAACTGTGTAGGCAGTGTAATTGTTTTCTTCTCTTCCAGTCTCCACGTGCCGATGTCAGTTCCAAATCTAAGCAGTCCTTCTCTCCACACACGACAAAAATTGTATCCATACACCTTATCCACATCGTCTTCGTGTATTGTCAAGCAATCTGTCTTAACACTATACACCTTAATGTTGTTATCGGATAATGTCTTGTATGCTTCATACATCTTAAAATTATGATACTGTAATAACAACTCTTTGATATACATAAAACCATTTATTAAAGTCTTCTTTTCTGACACACTTAACACATAATATTTAGGTCCTTCTGTCTCCTTTGTTTCATACTCGTCTTCATCCACTTCGTTAAGTTCTGTCTGACACTCGCTTATTGTATAGACCTTTCCACCGTAAATGCTTTGATAATAACACGCCTCCTTCAAGGAAGTAAAGGTGCTACTTCTCTGACTTCTGTTATGGGATTTCTCCAACATTCCGACGCTGATGTTCCACAGTTTCTTTTGCGTCTGCTTGTTGAAGTCTTCGTCGTCCGTCATTTTTGTTGCATACAGTTCATCTATCAACTTTTTATAATCCACTTTGTAAATATTGCTCGGTTGCTTATACCATAGTATTTTAAGCTTAACGTTGTGTTTCAGCAGTTTCTTCAAAAACTTGCCATAAACTAAGCAATACTTCTTATTGAAAAAGATGTTTCCTTCATACACCTCTACAATGTATAATGTCAGGTTGTTAAACTGGTCTGTGCTACAATCCTCATCATAGGGTCTGAATATGTCAAACTGTGTAAATTTCGGGATGTATTTTATACTCCCACCCGCGTGTGTAAATGCCTTGTTAATATCTATTTCTTTTATCTTCTTCATCGGCGTATCTTTAAAAAATCTACCAGCCGGAACTATTGTTTTACACTCTTTAAGGATTTGTATATCTACCTCGTTATAATAGGACAAATGATTTTCTTTAAACAACTCTTTTTGTAAGTTAAACATGGTTGTAGTGATTTTGTTATACACTTCCTCATTATCGGTGGTTACATCTTCATCAATTCGCTGCTGTGATAAACACTGTGAGACAATGTTGTATTTAATGTATTTCTTCAGTTTTTTGTAATAAAACTTACATAAGATATTCGTAATCCGCCCCGCTTGATAGTTAATGTGTGGTTTGTATCCTGCCTCGTTGAGTTGATGGAAGACCTTGACTAAATCATTATCCGAATGTATCAGGGCATATTCTTCCTTATCGGTCATAGTCAGCAGTTCATCTACATTATCAAACATTTTATACTCAGCCGGTTCTGTTCTATCGGTGATGTAGAACTTGCTTGTTGTAAAGGCATTGTATTTATCCTTTGGTTGAATTTGCCTTAATGTCTCTAAATCGTGGTTTAATAAATATATATGATTGTTTTTAACAAGTCCTCTGAATATTTTTACTCGCCCCTTCTCATAATTGTCAGGGTTGTATTCATAAATCAGAGCACCTGTAAAGTTGTATAATCTAACTGGTATATTGAAGAATTTAAAGACCTTATCCATTTGGTTTATAGTCGCCCCTGTATTAATGAATTCTTCTTCTGTCATATCCAGCAGTTCAAGGACTTTATCTCGGGTCAGCGGTTTTGTGTTCTTTTGTTGTCGCTTTTCTCTTGTTAGGTTAGTTCCTTCAAAGTTTTCCAGTAAAGCATTTATCCAACATTCGTTTTCTATGTAATTTTGCTTGTTTAGTGCCTCTTTCATAGTCTCTGCTTCGGCATTAACTTCGGTTTGAATGTATCTGTAATATGTGCTTATGCTGTTGCCTTGTTGTAATGGTTCTTCTCTCTCGTCGTATCCGCCCGTGTCTGTTTCAACAATCTCAACGCTTTCAATTCTAATGGCGTCTGCGTATTCTATCAGATGTCCTGTTGCATCCTTAAACTCGCTACTTGAATTCATAGTAATCATCAGTTTTCTAAATAAGAAATTTTCGGTGTCGTGGTATTGTCTTATCCTCCTCTTAACTAATGTTTCAATGAATTCGTTTGCTTTCACATTGGCACTTCCTACTACACTTGCGTTCCCACGGGTAAGAAGAA